TTGATGGTGCTTGAATGTCCCCTTTTGGGAGAAGGAAAGGTAATTACAAGGGATCTTGGAGAAGGTGGGTCACCTTTAGTAAAGGAGCAGAGCTGACCATGAGGGGGATACACCTAGAACCTTTGGCCTCTCTCCAGGCCCCTTTGATGGCAGGTCAGCTCTGTATTACAGGCCTCTGTACTGGGACCATCTCCTACCAAGCTTGGGTCCCTGTGGTTCTGCTCCATAGCATCTGGACTTGCCCTCGCAGCAGCCCTTTCCCATTTTGTAACTGTGGATTTCCTTGTAAGGCATATCTCCCGAGTCTCAGAGCCCCACCAGAGAAGGAGGGGTTTGCCTTACTCCTCACCAGTGCCAGGAACACCAAATCGGCACTTCCTTAACAGAAAGGTGAAATGAGTGAATGGATATTCATTTGCCATCATGGTAGCACCTTATTAAAGGTTTTAGTGTTATCAAAGCAATATGTGCATTTGTTAGAAAGCCCCGCTAGTGCAGAATCAGAACAGGGAAGGTAGATTAAAATCAAGCCACCGACTCTGCCTTCTTGACACCTCTTTACCCTGCTCACTTTTAATGGTATGATTATTTCTGCTTCCTTTGCTGGTTCCCTTTGTCATCTTGTAGTGCACTTGATCCTCCTTTATATATTGCTCTTTGAACTCTCCATACCATCTTGCCCTCCCCCCCAGGTCAGCCGAAACTGTGGAAGGGTCCTTGAGGCCCTTTCTACATCGTATCTCCAGTCCCCTGCCTTCACCTCCTGATCTTTTACTGTTTGCTCATCAGGATTCTTATCATTTTCATCGTGTTTATGTGATCAGTAAATCTTATGTGTGTTTTGGGAAAAGTTAAAGGTAAAAACAACAAAAACCCATAAAATCAGACTTTTATCATTGTCACTGTAGTTGTGGCCTCTGCAGAGCTGAGGAATGTACCAGGATGGCAGCTTCTCTTTGAGTCCAGCATCACCATTCCAGGGTGCTCCTAGCATCAAGGACATATGGATTATTTTCTTATATAATAATCAGTTGTAGAAAAATAAAACTCCATATTTTATTCTATGCCCTGTTTGGAGTATTTTTTTAATTAAAAAAACTTTTCATTAAAACAAAAGCAGCAAATGTACATTGTTGAAAGTTAGGAAATATGGCCAGAGCTTGGGAAGGGTGCTAGGGAAGGAGGGATGGTGAGAGGATGATTAATGGATCCAGGGGTGGGATAAGAGGAATAACTTCCAATGTTCTATAGCACAGTGGAACAACTACGGTTGGCAGCAATTAGTTGAATATTTCAAAATAGCTACTAGAGAGGATTTTGAGTGTCCCCAACACAAAGAAATGATATATATCTGAGGTAATAGATATGCCAATTACCCTGATCCAATCATCAGACACTGTATACATGGATTGAGGTGCAAGGTCGTACCCCATAAATACATACAATTATTATTTCAATTAAAATGTTAATTTAAAAGACATCCCTAACTGTCCTTGACACATTCATTTTCCATGTCTTACTCAGTTATTTTCATTATTTGCCCATGATATTGACTATATAAGTTAGCTTTCCATTGTTGCAACAAAATACCTGAGATAATCAACTTATAAAGAGGAAAGATTTATTTTTGCTTATTTCAGAGATTTCAGTTCTTGGTCACCTGGCCCCATCACTTTGGGCCTGTGGCAAGGCAGAACATCATGGTGGATAGATGTGGTGAAGGAAAGCTGTTCCCCTCATGGCCAGAGGGCTGGGCCCGCAAGATCTCCTTCAAGGGCACTAACTTCCTCCAAGTAGGCCTCACTTCTTAAATGCTCCATCACCTCCCAAAGGCCACCAAGCCTTTAACATATGATCTTTGGGGACATTCAGAGCCTAACTATTTACTGAAAAGGCTGGGCTGGTTGTGCTGCAGGATGTCCTGCCTTCTGGATTTGTATAGTGGTTCCTTTGCGATGTCCTTAGCTAGTTCTTCTGTGCCCAAACGTCTTAGAAACTGAATGTTAGACCTAAAGCTTTACAAGTTTAAAATATTTGGTAGAATACGTCCTAGGTGATGGTATTTCCTGTTGCACCACATTAGGACCCAAATAATATGGAGCTGACCTGCCATCAATGATGCTAGATTGACTGCTGTGTCACATTTCCTGCCTGGGACTGGAAAGTAACCTGCATGGTGTTATTTTGGTTCCACACAAATCAATGTGGCTTCTATATATATTTCCTGGAGTTCTATTTGCCTTCGCCATATCACTAAGAGTTTTAAGCTTCTTATTGATTTTACGTGTGGAAATGAGTCCATTCCATTCTCAGAGCCACATATCTAATTTCTGATTGCTTTCCAGGCTTGCCATCCTGCATGTCCTGGGCTTTTATTTAATTATACTTTGGGGCCAACTCTACTTTCTAAAAATATCCCTTTATATCATCTCATCCTCTTAATTGATTTGTTCTTTCTCTCTCCCCACCCTTTCCCTCTCTCTCCCCACCCTTTCCCTCTCTCTCCCTTTGTGCTGGGGTAAATTCTTAAATATTTTCCCCATTTCTGAATTTTTGAACTTCTGAAAAGGACTCTCTTTCTTTTGTATTTGATTAGTAAATCGTCTGGGTTTAAAGTTCTATATTTACATGCAGTTAAAGAAAAGGGAGTCAGTGAGGCAGAATAGATCCTGCACTTTTTAAAATAAATTTAGTTGTAGATGGACACAATACCTTTTATTTATTTTCTTTTTATGTGGTGCTGAGAATCGAACCTAGGGCTCTACACATGCCAGGTGAGCATCTACCACTGAACCACAACTCCAGCCCGGGTCCTACATTTTTGATCTTAATTTAGCTGTTTCAGTTTCTCATCTGTGAAATGGGGATGGTGATGTTTTCCAGGCAGGGTTCCCCAGGGAGCTGGGTCTCTGAGATAAATAGGTAGAAAACATGCGGAGGCGTGCTCTTGGGATCAGCACGTGTGGCAGAGAGAAGAAGCAGGACGGGCCTGTATTGCAGTCCCAAGCATGCCCCAGCTGATCCCAAAGGGCGCTTTGGAGCTGGAGCGACCTGGCAGAGATATCCCTAGTTGAAGCAAAAAGCTGGGTCTTTGTTCCCTCCATTGAATCAAGGAGACCTCCAGAGAGGACTGGTTGGCCGCCAGCATCCTCAGCAGCTGGGGGACGAGTGCGTTGGCACTGCAGGGGGTGAGTTGGGCATCACAGCCGGTGTTCATGGCCATTCCCAGAACCTACAAGGAACAGGCCCCCAGTAAATGGCAATCCAAAAAGAAGGGAAGCTGTGTTTGTTTTCTGAGATTTGTCTAGCTTCATAGTCCTGTTGTAAACATTGGGAGATACAGTTAGCCCACATATCCGTGGGTTTAAACCATCCACAGGTTCGACCAGATGCAATAGGGAAAAAAACCCAGAAGGTTCCAGAAAGCAAGTCTCAGATTTGCCATTTACTGAGCACCATGTTGAATTCACATGAATGAAGTGATGTCTCACACTTCTTCACAGATCCTCAGCTTCTCTCCAGCACTCGTTCCTGACCTTTGTGGTCAGGTCTGTACCTGTGCAAATGCTGTGTAAATAGTTGTAAAGTTTATGCACATCCTCTGTGAACGGCCAAAGCGTCTCTCGATTACTTATAATACCTAATACGATGTAAATGCTATGTAATAGTTGTTATACTGTATCCATTAGGGAATAAAGACAAGAAAAAAGAGTCTGTACAGCTCAGAACAGACATAACTATGTAGGCCTAACTGCAGAGTAGGTGAAAAGCAAATACTACACCATTTCACATAAGGGACCCGGCATCTGCAGGGATTCCAGGCCACGCCTCCTCAAATACCACCTTTTGAGGAGAATCAGGCAACCTACCTAAGGGTGGCTTTGAGGTGGGCAGTGTGGCCGAGGCAGCATCTCCAGGCTTTGTACTTTGTTTATGTCACAGACACTCACAGAGCGCTGGCGAGTGCCTGGCACCGCCCTCGGTACATAGAAAATGCAGCGCTGAATTCTCACAACACCCTATGAGGGGAGCATGTTGTCATCCCCACTTTACAGGCAAGGAAACGGGCACAGAATAAGGAGCTCAGCCGCACAGCTGGGGAGGGGTGCAGTTGGAGTAGGAGCTCAGGGTCTGTCTCTGGATCAGTGCCCTTAGTGACTTACATGCCTGTGAATGTGGCATTATGCACAGGGGTAGAAGATGAGGATCTTTGTGAATCTCACTTGGGGATGAGGCTAAGTGCAAGGACCAGACACCTAACACATTTGGGCACATTGCCGTGAGTTTGTTGTGAGAGCCCTGGGCATCCCCCAGAGCCAGTTGCTGGAGACACAGCGGGGTCTCTGGTCTTGCCTCCCTTGCCCTGCATATGCCCATTCTCCCCTTCATTGCTGCCTCACTCCTCTTGTCTGCCCCAGTCTCCTGCTTCTCTCTGTAGACCAGCTGTTTCCACATCTGTATCTGTACACACAGGCTGAAAATGGCTGCAGGCCTCCTGGTGTCTCCCACTGCCTGACCTGTCTCAGGCAAGGCCCAAAACACATGTGTCCCTGGGCTGCCCCAGGGACAGGTGGGTAGGGAGAGACAAGTGTTCTCTGCAGCCAGCTAGGCAGAGCCCTAGGAGGTGGCGCCTTAAGGTTAAAGTCCCACCTCCTCGCCATAGGGAATTTATTCCCCTTCCATGGGGGAGGAAGCAGGCTCAGAGAGGTAGGATGTGTCTGGCTGTAGAGGCTGGGCTTCTTCCACTGCCAACAGTGGCTTCAGGTTCTGGTCATGGGCCTTTCTGCCCAGGGCTGGTGTTGGGACAAGATGGGCAGCTGCTGTTCTCCCCTGCAGGGATTTTCTTCTAGGCCACTCTGGGTAACTCGTCACTCCTGGGGCGTGGGGCTCCCCTTCTGGTCCTGTGCAGCCACAGGCAGGCAGAGTGTGTCGGGTCTTCCTGGAAGGGTCCAGTCTGGGCTGGAGGTCACTGACCTGCTACTTTCTTTTCTCCCCTGAAGCCGAGTGTTCAAGACAGACATGGAGCTGGAAGTTTTGCGCTACACCAATCGAATCTCCAGCGAGGCCCATCGGGAGGTGAGTTAGGTGGTTGGGCAGGCAGCACTGCTGTGTGTGCGCTTAGAAAACCACGTGGAAGCTTGCGGGCGATCTAGTCCCTGAGGACCTGTGACAGGCAGGAAGTTTTGCACAGAATGATTCTTTTCCCTAGTGGGCAGAGGCCAGTGACAGGAGAGGTTCTGCCCTGGCTCCTCCTATTAAGGCGGCCACCTTCGTGAGTGGGAACGCTAGTCCTCAGGGAGTTTTGCAAAAAAATTCCCAACTGTGGGAGGGTAGAGCTGGCCTTCCTGGCATCTTGGCACTTCCCAGCTTCTTTCTTTTGTTCTTATCAAGATTCCAGCACATTTATTACCATTGTCCACTTTCTGAAAACATCTTCACATGGTTGTTTTTCACACTTCCCAATTGATAGAGAAACAAGACCAAATAAGGAAGTGCATCTTTTGAAGGATGTTCAGGGTGCTGGGCCAGCCCAGGGCCTGCTTAGTGTCGCAGCTTCATGTTAGGAAAAAACCAGGGTGATTGATGGACTGCGTGACCTCTTGTACAGGCGATTTTCTCCATTTTATGAAAGTCAAGCAAAGGAAACCTTTCAGAGATCATCTTCATAGTCTTCTCAGCATTAGGTATTCACCAAACACACCTCAGCCAAACCTTTGCTTTCTTCAGTTTTGCTCGCCACCTCGCAGCTGTGGCTCAAAGCGTGGCGTTGATCCGCTTCCCAATGGAAGTACTCCACAGTGGTTTAAATAAACTGTATGGATTTTGGAGCCCTTAAAAGTCCAATTTGTCACATTTCTGCACCACTGTGTGCACGTATCATTCTCCCCCCTTTCTCTAAAGAAGAGCTTCTTTTGAAAAAAATGCTATACATTATTTATAAGGCCGAGTTACTTATCTGCGTAATACAAATGTCTTTGCTTAATATCCATCCTCCAGGTAATGAAGGCTGTAAAAGTGGGAATGAAAGAATATGAGATGGAAAGGTAAGCTGCGTCTCTCTGGGTAAAGATTAAAATGTAAAAAGTGGTAATTTATGTTCCCTGAGTGAGTAACAGATGAGGCGCCGCAGCGCCGTGCACAGACCGGGCGGGGATTACGAGCAGGCTTTGGGGTCCTGGGCAGAGATTATTTCTCTCCCGACTGTGGCTACCTCCGTAGCTCTTGGCAGAGTGTTTGATGGTAATGGTCTTTCATTACTTTTCAGGGTGGTTTAGTGCCCATCATTCTGCTCTTGGACTTTGTTTCTGCAATTTGCAGGAAACTTTACCAAATAGCTGCCATTGTGACTCTAAAAGCTGCTAGTAAAACAGCTTGCCATTTTTATGTGTAAACACTGCCATTATGTCTGCTGTGCTTGGGCGACTGGGTCGAGGGATGGTTAAGTGGCTCATAAAGCGCTCTGGAGAGCTCCATTGGCCTTTGGCTTCAATTAGGCCTGCAGTGAGCCCATGTCCTGGGGTACTTCCTGGGGCTACCCAGCTATGCAGGTGTGGCTGGTCAGCTCAGCCCTGCTCCAAGACCCCTGTGACCAAGGAGTTGGTATTCTGCTGCCCATGGATTGTGGAAGCCCTTGACTCAGACCCAGGCTACCCGCATAGCTCCCTTCCCACTCATGTTCTGGGTCTCCCACCAGTATTTGCACTGCCCAGAACCTCTGGGGAGGGGACCTTGAAGAACTGCTAGTCTCTCTAGGGGACTAGGGTTTCTCTCCCATGACTGGTCTTGGAAGAGCTGCCCCATCCCTACCTTGCAGGGCCCAGGTCTGGCTCAGGTGCCCTCAGGGGCTGCCCTGTGCAGAGCTGGCTCAAGGGGATGCTGGTTCTGCATTGCCCTCTGCTATGGTTTGGATGTAGTTTGTCCCTCAGGGGCTCATGTACTGGAAGTTTTGTCCTCAGTATAGTGATGTGAGAGGTGGTAGGACCTTTAAGAGGTGGGCCCTAGTGAGAGGCCCTTGGGTCATGGGGGGCCCTGCCTCAGGGGAATTAAAGTGGTTCTTGTGGGATCCTGAGTTAGTTTCGAGATAGACTTGTTATTAAAGTGGGAGCCTGACCCCACACAGCTCACTGGTTTCCTCTGTCAAGTGTGATCTTTTGCTCTTGCTAATGCTCCTGCAATGATGTCATCCATAGTTTACCCTCTCCAATGGCCAAACCAAGGTTACCTGATGTTGAAATTTCAGCCTCTGAAGCTGTGAGCTAAACACACCTCTTTTCTTTATAAAGTAGCCATCCTCTGGTATTTTTGTTATAGTAAAAATCAACAGGCTAATATATCCTCCTAGCCCCTCGGGCCTGCCTGTTGCATCAGTGTGGGAAGCAGGGCTAAGTTATGGGTAGGACTGCAATGGCTGAGTGGACATTTCTGTTCATTGTGGCTGTGGCTTGGGGACGGAGGTCTTCTTCAGTGTCTAACCTGAAAGGAGACTGCATCACAGTCTCTGTGGTCTAATTCCCAGGATCCCAGCCCCCTTGAGTATCTGAGATGGGAAGAGTACTGTGCCCCAGGGAGGTGGCTGGGCATTGGGTCCTCAAACTGGCATTGCCCCAGAAACCTGTTCCCAAATCAGTTGACTCATAGTGACCCATAGCTGATGCCTCAAATAAAAATAACCAAGAAATTGGAGCAAGAGTAGCTTACTGCAGTGTGGGGCTGACTCTGTGCTGCACACGGCAGCCTTGTGCCCTGAGCTACAGGAGGTCCAGCTCTGGAGTGGCTTCTGAAAGGGTCCTTGAGCCACCTCCTCTGTGATATCCCAGAGCCCTACCCTGCTGCAGCCTGCGGACAGGCTCCAGTGCTCCCCCTTCCCCGCTACCCTCACAAGGCCCCCCGACCTTGGTAATGGAGGAGATCTTTTTTTTTTTCCTCTTACTGAGAAATTTCAAATTTCTAACAAGTAGAATAATATAATGAACCCTAGAGTCTCCACAGGTCTTTGTCTTATGTTTCATTTTGTTTTGTTTTGCTGGAGTATTTTAAAAATGAGTCTCAAATATCACGTCATTTCACTTGTAGATACTTCAGGAGGTGTCTCAATTGACAAGGATATTTTTCTCTTTATATAACCACCCTGCCATTATCGCATCTAAGTAAATTAACAGTATAGTTGGTCCTCCGTGTCTGAGTGTTCGGCATCACAGGTTTAACCAACCGTGAATTGAAAATATTTGTTTAAAAATACTGCATCTGCACTGAACATGTATAGACTCTTGTCATTATTCTCTAAGTCACCTAGTACAGCAACTGTTTACATCATGCTGGATAGTATGAAGAACCTAGAGATGATTTAAAGTGTATGGAGGGATATGTGTAGTTTATATGCAAATACGGTGCCCATAAGGGACTTGAGTATCTAAGGGGGTTTTGGTTTCCAAGAGAGTCCCCAAACCAACACCCCCTGGATTCAGAGAGACAAATGTAATTCCTGAATAGTATCAGTACCCTAGTCTCACCCCTCCCCGCCATCCCTACAAGGTCCCTGGGTTGGCCCTGCTGGTTCCTCCTCTGTGGACCAGGGGGCCTGAAACTGGAGGCTGTGGCCGACTGAGCATGCCGGGGGACCATGGCCAATAGCATCTTCCCAGAGGGTGCTGAGTGGAGGGACTTGGTGTGATGGGCCAGTTGTGCTCACTGCTGTGCACCTGCTGTGTGCCACACCCACTTGTGGCTAGTCCTGGGAATCCACGGGGTGCCTGTGTCCAGTGGGAGCCATCTGGTCATGGGTCCCTGAGAGCTTAGAATTGAGAGGCGACGTCTCCAGGGAAGAGTAGAAGGTGGGAACAAAGGGTGTCCCGAAGGTTGTGGGAAGACCGTTGTCCACAGATGCCATCATATCCCCTCTGATGTGTAGGGGGGCATCTGCAGTCATGAGGTGGGCAGACTCTTCCTGCCTGAGCTCCCTCCCCCAGGCTTGTCTCTCTGTCACTGCCCAGGTCACTGCAACACAGTGTATAGCCCAGATCCTTGGGAGCCTGGGGGCTTCGTAGGAGCCACATCTCATCTATTGTGCCATGTCTCGCCCACCACTGGCGTCAGGAAATGTGTGTGGGTTTGATGGATAAAAAGGTCCTGGGCTATTTTTCTGCCATCCTCTGTGCCACTAGGGACTTCAGAATTCTCCTCTTGATTAGTGGAGGAAGTCTTTTAAAACAGGAGGTGTTGGTTGCCCAGGGGACATGGCCCTTTTAACACAGGCTGGGCTGCTGCCTGGAAAGGTCAGGGCGGCCAGTCTGCTGTGCAGACTGAGGACTCACCCGGTTGAAAGGAAGCGAGCTGCTCTTTTGGGCAAGTCACTGGCACCCTGCACGAATGGTGGGCATCCCTAAAACCTGCTGGACCTGCTGCTCCAGCCCCATAGAGGGACATCTGGCCGGAAGGACAGGGAATCCTGCAAGTCGGTCTGGAAGCAGAGGCAGAAGACTGGGGACACCACAGGACAATTGTGCTCATACTTGAGCCAGAAAACCCAGTTCTAAGCCTCATTTTTTTTTTTTTTAATTATCAAAGATTTGTTACACAGTCTTGCAGGCACGTTAAAAAAAAAAAAAGTAAGCGAGCTGATGGCATTTATAAGATACCTCCTCCTCTGTGCTGTGCCTGTGAGTGAGGTTTCAGAGGAAATGAAAATCATTTTCCAAAATTGAGGTGTAGTAAATTGTGTTAAACCAATAAGACACTAATGTTTGGGCAAATCGGGCTCTAACAGCATCTGACTGCAGGCCCAATCAGGCAGTCCATTTTACCGCCTCATATTATTTAATGTTAGTGGTGTAACCAGCTTGTAGCGGGCTGGCACCGGGCTGGCAGCTGAATCAATTACCTGCAAACACTAATTTAGAGCATGCTCAATTGGCTGTGTAAGCAGGTCCCTGCTCACATTTGCCACAAGGAGATTAATAACTTGATGTTTTTGACAGCCTGGGACCTTAATTGGAATTATGCTGTCTCTCTCTCCAAGCCACGAGTAGGTTGTTTGAGCCCCTTTTGTGACAGTTTGGGACTGGGGGTGTTGTGAAAGTCATTTAAAAGACAGAGGTTCTGTGATGTGCTGTGGTGTTGGTGCGGCCTCGTCCTCCTCCCCTGGCTGGGTTTTCCTTGGCAAACACTTGGCCCCATCTGAAGACCCTCGGTCAGGCCTGGGTTTTTCTGAGCTCTTCTGTTACAGGCAGCAGCCCACAGTAGTAGCTTCCTGTTTTCTTTGAGTCCTTTGTTAATGAAGAACTTGGCCTCGCAGTGCAGTCTTTTTTTTTAATTAAAGGTCTTATTGCTTTTTCCTGCCCTTTGGACAGATGGAGTGACTCACAATTCTGTGTTCACTGCGTCTGTCAAGTCCAGATTTGGGGAGTGAGGACACAGCCGGAGAGTCTTCATCTCCCCAGTGTGTGTGCATGCTCTTGCTTACTGTCACCCACAGCCCCCAGACCTCTGTACACACCACACCTACATAAACATACCCCACACATACTCTTGACAACCCCTACTCCCCACCACACCCCCGCCCCCACATGGATAGTCGATTCAAGCCACGAGGTGCAGGGTCAGGTGGCTGATCTTCCAGTTTACCCAGGTTGCAAAACCTTGTTGAATTCTTGTTAAGCAGGTGGTGGTTTTTGTTTTTGGTGGGGTTGGGGTGGCACTAGAAACTTGAACCACCATCAGGAGGTAGAGTCTGTAGGCAACCCCATAGCACTGTTCCCCCTTTCCTGCAGGTAGGCCACAGCAGATGGGCTTAGTGGACCCCTGAGTGCACCCCTCACTCTGGGAAGCCCCCTTTACTACTGAGCCAGGCTCCTGCTTCTCTGTCACACCTTCAGGGTCTGCATTTCCATCTCCCTGGAGGCCATGAGCCTTCTCAAATGTCATAGTCTTCTTCTTGTCCGTCCATTCCACGGTTTGGGTCCAGGGTGCCTCTGAGGCCAGGACAACAGTGGATGTGATGGGTCCTTCTCCATGGACCTGGTCACTGTTGATGCTTAGTGCCCTGCAC